TGCATGAGGTGCACTGGCTGGAAATTTAAACCAGTCCCTCACAGCAAAGGCAAATATTCTACCACTGAATCACCACAGCGTCTCTTCTCAGCATGCTATAAAAGAATACAAAGTTGGCTTTAATAGAAAACATTGTTTCACAAATCAGCTTCATCTCATAAATCATGGAAGAAAAAAACCCCAAAGAAAAACCAGCAAATAACAAGAACCACCTTAATACTCACTGTCGCTTTAATGTAAGTTTTCGAATGCGAATTAAGTACTGGGTGATCTTGGTGAATCTCTGTTTGCATTTGTGTCGGATAAAGCGAGGCCAGTAGATTAGGTTTTCATCTATTTGCTCCAGTGCTTTCTCATAGTTCTTATTGAGCCTGACCTGCCAAACACAAGGAGAGACACTTGAGGGGCAAGAGTGCACAATGGATTAGGTCCTCACTGTCCAGACCCCTGATGGGATAGTTTCAATATTTAATCCGAGGACGATGCAGGATGAGAATGGTGGCATTTTTGATCACTGTCATTGTAATTTTATATCCCAAGTCTTACCCGTTCCCAGAGACGCCTAGGAAAGGCTGCTCGTTCGATAACCTTCATATACAAGTAGCACTGTCCTGTCGGAGAAAGTAAGGCCCTTTACTGTTATCCACAGAGAGACGAAAGCATAATCTTTGAGAGCTAGTAAGGAATTCTCGGAGTTACCTTTCTCTTCTTTGACAGTAGCATACTGACTGTTTGCGAGGGGGCAGGACGACCGATTACAAAGTCCAGTCAGGCTGTACTCATTTCTGCAAAAGCTCTGAGTCTTGGTTCTGATGCGGAGGAAAGAAGTGGACTTTATCAAATGGGTTGAGCACTAAGAAATTTTACTCTGAGTTGCAAATCCAGACTCACCTTATTTTGAAGGAACAGAATTGTTTGTTTCCTAATGTATCCCAGATAACCTGCAAAGACAAAAACCCATTTCAATAGTTCTGACCCAACAGATGGCACATTAGTCCAAACAAGACAATGCCCCAGGGTGGTGCTTTACTGAAGAAAGGCCCCTTTCAAGATTAAGAGACCTAGAAAAGATGGTCTGACTTGCTTTCTTTTTTTTTAACCAAGTTAACAGATGCTTGCAGAGAATTCAAAACATAAATGAACAGTAACTATAACCTCACTGCCCAGAGATAAAATTCTGCTAGTACTTTGTAAGTATATTGCCATACCTGTGCAGTTGTATCCCCACACACAATTAACAAATACGAGATATCAGACGTGTTTTATCTTTTCTATTATTCGATACGTACATCAGTCATTTTTTTAAAAAAATCGTTTCATTAGGGGGCTCATACAACTCCCATTGCAATCCATACATACATCAATTGTGTAAAGCACATTTGTATATTCATTGCCCTCATCATTCTCAAAACATTTGCT